TTGCGGCACGATATTTTTATAAATCTTTTCATACTATCATCTTAGGGATATTGCTGTTATTTCTAATGATTCCAGTCTGTATGAATTTGAACTCGAAATTTTCCAATGTTAAGTATGGCCCATGGGGAAATCCGAAATTTAGATGAATGGATATGATGATTCTAAAATGATATGTTTAGATACCCTCGCTCATTTAATTTTCTACAATTTTCTTTTATTGCGACATTTTTTTGGATCATGCAGGCCTTTTTGGATTCTTTTAAGTGTTTGGTTGCTGAGAAAAAATGAGGTGGAATCATATCATGGATTCTGAATACTTACAACAACGAGTTATATTGGCACCAACTAATGAAATTGTTGAGAAGGTGAACGATTACAAGCTGTCTTTGGTTCTGGAAGAGGAAACACTCTATCTTAGTTTCGATAGTCCATGTACGATGAATGAGAGTGTCGACTCACATCATACTATTATATCTTCAGGTCTGCCAAACCATGAATTAAAGTTGAAGAGAGGTGTTCATGTTATGTTATTGACGAATATAGATCAGTCCAATGGTTTGTATAAATGGTGCAAGATTGACCATTAGTCGGTTGGGAAATCGCGTTTGGAAGCAAAAATAATATTAGACTTTAATGTCAGACAGAAGGTCTTCATTCCAAGATTGTCGTTAACACCGTCAGATAGTAGAATTCGGTTTTACTTTCAGAGGAGACAATTTCCCATTGTTCTTTCTTTCGCTATAACAATAAATAAAAGCCAATGCCAATCTCTAAAAAATGTTAGTCTATATCTTGAAAAGTCTATTTTCTCTTACAGACAACTGTACGTAGCTATTTCGAGGGTTACCGTCGAAAATGTTTGAAGATACTTATAGTTGACAAAGAAGGAAATACTTATAAAAAAAATTAATTGTTATTTTCTTGAACCTCCAACCTAATTTCGAGCGGACAAAGTGCGAAAAAATAAAAATTACACCAGATTATTTAAAAAGCCTACATTTTCTTACAAAATAAAAAATAAAAAAGAAGTTTTTATCACTAAATTATTCGATTGATGGAGCTTTTATGTAACTGTTTGAAAATATTAGGTGAAAATACTTGGAAGAAAATATGATTTTCAGATTACTTGATAACGGAATAGTTGAATGATTTTTTTTCCGTAAAATATTTGATATTTGATAAATAAATAAAAAAATAATATATAGATAAAATTTATTTTTATTTTTGAACTTTACAGTTTCAAAATGATTGATGAATAAAAAAAATATTTGACATTTGACATCCTAAAAAAAATATCACTAAAAATATTAAATTACATTTTTTAGCTTTAAAAATTCATTTGGGGTGCATTATGCCTGATTTATTGTATTTCGAGGGTGCAAAGTGCTATTAATTTGTTTCGAGGGTGCAAAGTGCCAAAATGGTATATTTCAAGGGTGCAAAGTGCTATTAATTTGTTTCGAGGGTGCAAAGTGTCAAAATGGTATATTTCAAGGGTGCAAAGTGGAATTAAGCCAAATTCATGTATTTAGAATTTCATATTTACTATGGATTTAAATGATATTTAACGTGGAAATTCAAAGGTTGTAGTGATTGATATGTATTTTAATTTGAAGCGAAACTTATGTGATCTTACACATTAGGAAAATAAAATGGTAGATGGAGCTATTTAATTATTTTAAGTATGATATTATTAAAATACTTATTTAACATATTTAGAAGATAATGTGCAATTTGATTACCCTATATACGGGTGTGCACGGGTCGGTTCGGTTCGGTTTTAGCCAAAAACCGAACCGAACCGAATATATCGGTTTTTGTAAAATTAAAAACTGTGTATGTCGGTTTTTTATCGGTTCGGTTTCTTTCGGTTTCGGTTCGGTTTCGGTTATTTTTCGGTTCAAGTGTCAATATATATTCAAGTTGTTGTACAAACAAAAAAATACAATTACAATTACTTTCACAACTTACTAATGCAATGAAAATATAAAATCTTTAATTTCATAGGACTTACGTAATTTAGATGATGTATTATGCTTCATTTTTTTTTCCTACTTTCATCTACCACATTATTAAAATCATGAACTCAAGTAAATTTTTACTTACTAAATAAATAAAATACAATGTCTCAATTTATGAACAAATGCTTAGAATGAGACAAGTAATTGAAAGATAGAAAATAAATATTAGGGTAAAATAATACATATATTATATAAAATGAAGTCATTTTATAGTTTCGGTTCGGTTCGGTTATTTACCTTCCCACCATACCGAACCGAATAATTCGGTATTTCAAAAATAAAAAACCGTACATGCGGTTTGCTATTCGGTACGGTTTAAAACGGCTCGGTTTTTCGTTTTTTCGGTTCGGTTTTTCGGTTTTTTTGCTCACCCCTAACCCTATATCCAAAGAGTATGAAACCGAAAGACTTACTTTCATTAAATTAAAAAAAATTATATTATGATCATTATAAAAAGGAAATGGATAAAGAAAACAATAGGATATTTGTTTATTCATTTCAAATTATTGAAGTCAAATGGGGGTATTTGATTATATAAATAATCCAGTGAGGTGTTTGATTAGGATGATATAGTTTAAGGGAGTAGATGAGTTTTATAGGTTTGGTTCGTTTGGAATATTTCATGAGGATGATATAATTATCCAAACATGATTTTCCATGTGCCCCTCTCTCTAGCTCTCTCCATTTTCGCTACTAATATATGTGGATTCACAAGTATTTTTTTTCTATACGTATAAAATTCGATTCATATGTGAATGCATAACTGATAATATGTAGTTATTTGGATTGTTCACAAACAGGTTTTCCAGAGTTTTTTTTTTCGGAACATCACAGATAAATGTATTAACTATTCAAGTTTGTGAAACTGATTGTGAATTTCTTCATTATATTTGATAATTCCACAAATGTTCCGTGTTCGTTTAAAAATGGTAGAGGTATACATAAATTCTACAGTAAATATTCTTCTTTCTATAAATTTTATACGAACATCATAATTCCAAGTTGTATACATAGTGATACGTGTCTTCATCTATTATCAAATATTTACTTGCGTCATTTCACTTTTGTATGTTCATGTCATATGTCCCATAAGAAATTTTGTGTCTTGGTTGTTCTCTTTAGTATGATTGCATGTTGGGGGTAAACACGATGCAAGAGCAGGCTCATGCGCGCTGGAACAACCACAAGCTATGGCTAGAATAGTGTGTGTGTTTATTTTTATTGCATCTTTTGTGTATTTGTAGTATGGGAAAAAAAATTGTCCAAGGTGCATAGATTTCATTTTTCAGCAGGCGAGAGCTGGTATTAGATTAGATAGAGGTGCATTTCATCTCATGCAAGCCTATCGATAAGAGGAGTACTTGATTCATACCACTTCTAATATAATTGGAACTCACACTGGTGACTGACTTATTAATCTCCCTAATTGACGTTGTGGTCATTGAACATCAATCCAGTTTCAATCTCCCAAATAATGAAGAACTTTAATGTTTGTTTAGTTTTTGTTTTTCTTTAATCAATTTTGATCTAATATGTTTGATGGAAATATTAATACCTTCACGTGACACTTTGGCATGTAAATATGTAGTCTCCATTACCATCCACATTCTCGTAAGTTTGATTTTAGCATTTGAAGCAATACAAGTTATCGATTTTATCGATTTCGAATTCATTTCTCTTTACTACTTTTCGTAGATTTTGCACATTTTATTTTTTACATATTTCAAATTCATGTAGTATTAAGTATATCTCTGTTCTATTTAATATTTTTTCTTATGGTTGATTCGTAAAATTTCTCTTTCCAGTGAAGAGAAAATTGTGCTCGCTTGCCTTTTATGCTGTTAGGAAAAAATTATCAAACTTCAAGGGGTTCATTTAAAAAAATGAAAGCACAAGATACAATATATAAGTATAATGTACGAATCTAAACATATTGCACTATTAGATAATGCTAGATTTTGTTGAAAATTAATATTAGTATATTTTGAATAACTTATATCTTCAATATCTATTTAGTTACTTGAATCCAAAATATGTAAAAGAAATTGTATAAAACTAAAAAATAAATCTCATAAATAAAATCACCTAAGACGTGCAACGCACGTTCACTTTTCTAGTACATACAAATATACACAAATATACAAAAATACTTGAGGGGTCCAAATGGGCCTTATCAAATGGCGCCGTCTATGGGAACGTTTGAGTTATAGACGTGCGTTGGTTTGATTTTGGGGTTTCCTCCAATAAGTAGAAGAGCGAGAAGCACGGTACTCCTTCTCGGGCATCGGCGTTAGGCAGCTCAGCAGCCCCACCAACGCGAGTTGTGCAGATTAAAATCGTATATATCATATCTCTAACTCTCTTTATTTCTCTATTGATGATTATGTGTGTGTGTTCTAGTGTGTGGGTAAAGTACAGATCCACAACTTTTCTGTATAAGTAAATATATGTATATTTATTTGTTTATTAATGGTTGTTGACCTTTTTGTGGAAAGAGAAATTCCATAGGCTACCGAAAAGACGGGGTCGGAATCGACCCCGCACGAAAGAGGAGTAAGACGAGGTATCTCGCATCCGAAGTAAGACGAGGTATCTCGCATTCAAAAAAGAAGTAAGACGAGGTATCTCGCATTCAAAAGAAGAGTAAGACGAGGTATCTCGCATCCAAAAGAGGAGTAAGACGAGGTATCTCGCATCCGAAGTATGACGAGGTATCTCGCATCCGAAGTAAGACGAGGTATCTCGCATCCTGAGTAAGACGAGGTATCTCGCATCATGAGTGTGACGAGGTATCTCACATCCGAAGTATGACGAGGTATCTCGCATCCTGAGTAAGACGAGGTATCTCGCATCCTGAGTAAGACGAGGTATCTCGCATCCTGAGTGTGACGAGGTATCTCACATCCTGAGTAAGACGAGGTATCTCGCATCTTGAGTACTGCGACGAGGTATCTCGCATCCAAAGTAAAGACGAGGTATCTCTCATCCGAAGTAAGACGAGGTATCTCGTATCCAAAGTAAGACGAGGTATCTCGCATCCGAAAAAGAAGGGTACGTCGTAAAATACATAGTGAAATGAAAAAAAAAAGAGAAAAACCAAACTCGAGGTGACTAGTTATTTCGCGCCTCTTCCGACGAATTGGGGGGAGTAGATTGGTTCGATTTCTTCACCTCGTCAAAGAGTCTCGAGAGAGTAGTTCGCCACGACTAGTTACTCCGCACTCCTCATGACGAACTGGGGGGAGTAGATGATCTGGACTAATTTGCACTGGGCCCAAATTATATATGAACCCGAAGCCCATATATAAAAGCCCATCAATCAGCCCCTATTCTCTCTCTCAAGCCCGTCAATCCACCGGCCCATTAACTTCCTGGCCCATCTCTCTCCTTATCTCCATGGCACGCACTTCAAGGCAGGAAAAGGAGGATAAGAGGAAGGAAGTGGCTATAAGAGAGAGAGGTCAAGACAGAGAGAACGGGGGGGGGGGGAACACCCACACCTCCTACACACACAAGCATAGATATACATACAAATATACACAAATATACAAAAATACTTGAGGGGTCCAAATGGGCCTCATCAGTAGGTTATATCTATATGATTGGTCGATGGTTCCTCTATTATAACAAAAAAATGATACATAGTTCTTTTCCAACAACTAAGTGCGACTCTTCACAAACCATCGTTGTTGCCTATAAAAAAGAGAAAGATCTAGCCAATTATTGACTCGATTATTAAGGCATAACAAAAGTGTTCATATATTCTTTATTTTATGTAAACATTTATATTTATTTCATTTTTATTTTGATAATTTATTGATTTTTCTTTTTCGTATTAGAGAAACTCGCAATCAATCATATAGATGAAATGAGTAAATATACACTTTCGTATAATAACTTGCAAACCATACGACTGGGTCAATTGACATGTATTCATTTGCTCTAACCAATAGGTTATCCCTTTCGGGTTAATTTATCGAATTTCTTGATTTTGTATGTAATGTATTGACTAAAATATTGTTGTAATTTCATTATAAAAGTAATCGGGACGCATGACAAGCTAAACTTAAATTGAAGAACATCGAAAATATTAGCAATAATATTTGGAAAAAAAAAAAAGACTAGGAAAAGGACATTCAATAAACAAAACAAAAAATTTCAAGAAAACAAAACAAAGGAGACTTTTAATTTTAAAGATTATCTCTTACACACATAATAAAAACGGTAACATGATGCACATAATTTACATTATCATCTGATCACAATATAATTAACATAACCAAAAAAAAATAATCATTGCTTATCCTGTGAATGACGCCAGCAAGAGATAAAATAATCACCAGCTCATTAAGAAAACAAATTATTAATCACAATATATATAAACTAATGATAGGATTAGATGATTAATCCATTGTTGTCAGCGGTAAGCACCGGCCTTCATTATTCTATGATCTATCGTCCGATAGTGTAGTGATATGGGACGTTAAATATTTATTTTTTAATTTTTTTTAATTTTTAATTTTTAAACTCACCACCAATTATATAATATTTCGACCATATTTGCAAAGGAATCTGAGCTCTGATAGTTTTAACTATTGGCTCTCTTACTCCACCAAATATAGACAGCTCTTACGAGATGTGATGTTAAGTATTTTACAAATATATTGAATGAATTCATATTTGTTTTGATTTAGAAAAAAAGTAAAAAAAATTGTTTCTTTTTCACTTTTTATTATCTTCCTCACAAGAAAAAAAAAATTGAATTTTATTTATAATTCATTATTTTATTCCGATCACTAAACAAATCAAAGAAAGTGATTATATTAACAACTTATATAGGAATCAAACGATCTTGAATTTTAAGAGATTTTTCATCATTTTTTGGAGATTTTTATACTTTACAATGTGTGGAAAAAGAGAGGCATACGAATATTTATATGAGATGTATGTTTAAGCTAAGTCTTGCAAGGGGTGGTTTAGTTGGTCCAATAAGAGAGTGAGATGTCAAGTGATGCGAGTTCGGATCTCATCGCCAGCGCTTTCTAGGTCGGATTTGCTACACATGCATGACTTATGCCTGAGTGTGGTTCACAAACTATTACACGAAAATAGAGGTTTACACCGTGCACCTGTAGATTCGTTAATCACCAAAATAGAAAATAAGAAAATGAAAAAATGTATACTTAGACCTTCATTGATTGGGGAGATTAGTTAAGATTAGTGAATAATTGAACTTGTTTGATGTTTGGTATTCCCAATAACTTATCGGGTTGACCCGAAAAATATTATATTATTTTGTCTTGTAGACATGTTTTTTTATCAAAACATCAAAGTTCTAATAATATAATTGTATTTCATAAGATATTATCTTGTTAACCGAACAAGGCGTTAAAGGGTACCAATGTTTGATGTGTCTATTTGGGATTTGACTCAAACACAAAAACAGCTCATTAAAAAATGGGGAAATTTGCTAGACACCATTTATTTTGAACTTATATAGGTAGAGATCCTACTTGTTAGATGAATATAGGCATAGGTCATTTGACCCAATAAATTAATATAAATAAATTAAAATAATTAGTATATATACATAAATACCCTCAATTAATAAGAAAACAAATCTTATATATCTTCTCTCTTCAATCTCACGTTAATCCCCTATATTTAATTCATCATCTATCTCTTATTCTGCATCTCCATTCTCACGCCTCTCTCCGTGTCTCGTGCTTCTCTTTTTCTATTTCTTTTTTCTTTTTCTTTTTCTTTTGTAAATGAAGAAATATTCTAGAGAAGGAAAAAACAAGGATCTTTTTAGATCATGAGATGCTTCTTGGTGAAATAATTAAAGAGGACAACAAACATCCCCTCCCAAAAAAAAAAATCAGAAATCCAAAATCATAGCCGAAATTCACATTGTGTCTTCCGTACGTAGAACCTTCCCATCGTTTTTGTTGTTAGCAATTTTCGTTTCCAGGTTGGTTTAACTTCGTTTGTTGTTTGAAGAATTGCGTTTGATGTTGAGATTCGATTCTCTAGTTTACAATTTCCAAGGTATGTCTTAAGTTACATTTTACAAACATTTTGTTTAATGTTTTTGTTGTTTGCAAATTGTTCCATAAACAATTTTTTGGTTAATGTTTTTAATGATGCTGATTTTTTTTTTATCTTTTTCAGTTTGCTGTTTGCATTTGGCCAAGTCATATAAGTAATTCATTGTTTGCAATTCAATAATGCAAGTTTTGCTGAATGTTTTTCTTCAGTTTGCTGTTTGAATTTGGCGAAGTCATAGGTAATTTTTTGTTTGTAATTCAGTAATACGAATTATGGATTTTGTTTTTTCAGTTTGCTGTTTGCATTTGGCGAAATCATATGTACTTTGTTGTTTGCAATTCAATAATATAAAATCTAATTTTCAGTTTGCTATTTGCAGTTCGCGGAGTCATAGGCGTCGCAGTTCCCGGATCATAGGCGGTGGTGGGGCTGCGGTGGAGTTTTTAGAGTATGAGTTTGTAAAATAAATTGTATATTTTTATTATGAATTAATTTATTTGTTTTAGTTAATATTTGAAAGAGATATGTTTGAGAATTTGTTTTGATAGAGAGATTTTTGGGGATTTGGTTTGATTTAATTAAGGGTATTTTTGCCATAATAAATATTATTAATTTATTAAAATATTAAATTTTGACTTGGATTTATACACATAAATTATAATATAGAGGGACCTATAGCAAATTGCCCCTTAAAAAATTCCCAACTCAAAGGCCATTATCCAAAATCCTCTAAAGGGTTAGTTAATATATCGTTGTTCCACGTCGATTTCACACAGAAATCCTTCACCAACCTTACATATATAGAAATAGGTTCGTTTATTCACACATTGTTGATAACTGCTATTTTAAAAGTTCTAAACTTTTCGCTTGTACAAATGATTTGCTACAGTTTTTTTTTTATTTAAGCGTTGGATGACAATCGTTGCGACACTCATAGCGTACCACCTAGTGTTTTCATCTATTTTTAGTTCGGTAAACGGTTTTCTCCTCTTTGTTTGCCTAAGATATGTGGCAGTGATTCTCGACAATCTTGACTCTCCTAAACTTCAAAGGCTGTTGGACTGACCAAACAACGTTTGAGCAACATCGATATTAATGATTCGTATATATCTAGGATTCGAAATCAATAAATTTCATTAGCAATATAAGTTGTCATCAGTTGATAATAAAAGGAAAGTTCATATTTAAACAAATCAATTTCGCTAGACTGGACAAAACAAAGAACATGTGGGGTTGCCCCTGCTATTGAAAAGATTTGCCCACATGCGATCCCCCTTCTTTAGGGTTTCAAAATATTTGGTCGTCAAATGATAAATTGAACCCAAAATCAATTTGTTTTCCAAGTATATGTGATTCAGAAATTAATATTTATTCAAAATTATTAACATGCCTATTTAATAATAACATAATATTTAAAGATTTAAAATACATGATACAGTAGAACTTCGATAAATTAATAACATCAATTAAATAATAGTTTCTCTCGGTCCCGACTCGGTGAAAACGTGTTAAATTATTAACTCGATAATTTGATAATTCGCTATATTAATAGAATTTCCCTAGTCCCGACTGTATTAATTTATAGAGGTTTAACTGTATAGCAATAGTTAGGTGATGAAAAATAGTTGTAGGAGGAAATATGAGGCGAAACCCCTCCAATTTATAACGTTTTAAAAAAAAAAAGATCTACTCTAATTCCAAATGTATGTTATTTTCCAGTTTAACTTGTAATAGTATCTTAACCGTACAATGCACAAAGTCAAATTCAAGAATAAAATGTTTTTCAACAAAATACGATCCGAAAAAGACAAAAATCATAATATACTAGTAAGTATAATATAAGATTTTGGGGAAAAAATACGGAACCAACTTCACTCAACAATTGTTCAAAACAGTCATTAACGTAATATATTCGAAACATATTCCATACCTACATGCTACAGGTAACTAAAACCAATTGAAACGAATCCCGATGCAATTTTGTACATCTAAATATAATTATTTGTATATATTTAATTTTATTTCAAATAAGAACTTAACAAAAAAAAAAAAAAGGAAGATAAAGTTTAAGTTGTGAAAATTGATTGAATCACAAAAATATATATATAATCGTATGCAAATGTAACAAACCGTAATAATGATATTTTATAAATTGATGAATTGCATTGTAAATCCTAATATTTAAGAACTATGACCCAACGTATTAACAAATACTCCAAACTCATTATTAAGTACTAACTGTGAGTTTAAACATGATAACTGATAAGTACAATTTACCTTGGATAGATTTAATTTGCAATTTGCTCTAGGATATTGAATCATATATTTGACTTGATTCACATGCAAACAAATCATAATATCCTAATTAATTTTATGACACATATATCTTCGTCAGATGGATATCAATATTATATATATATATATATATATATATATATATATATATATATATATGTGTGTGTGTGTGTGTGTGTGTGAAGATCCAATATTGTAAGGATTTTATCTGAGATCCCAGACCAAACATGATGTATTTATTATATTCGTAGATTATTGTACATGATTATTTATCAACATTATTTATCAACATTAAAACCTCATAACTATATGAAATTACAACTCATTAAGTTTCCCGCGCTAAATCGATGATTGACTTTATAATACAACTACACATGGAATCAATTGCAAATAACACTTACAATCCTTGAGGTATTTGGATTGAATGATTTGAATTGAAATGAACAACTTCGATATCAGTTTATTATGAAGTAGATAATTTAATAAAATGACTTCTTGTGCGAAGCTATGAGTTTGAAATTCACTAGAATTGCCTAAAAAAGAATTAAATGCGAGAGCGTTATGGATGGATTTGAAATTCCTTGTGAAATGACATAATCCAAACAAACTCAATGCATTTATTAATATGGAATTGAAATACATCCTTCATATATTTCATCTCCAAGATAATGATTTAAATGTATATATAATTTACACTTTTTAAATAACGAGAGCAGAAAACTATAGCCTCAACAGTAAAAATATAATATAAACATGACCTAGTCGGTGGAGTAAGTTAATGTGGTGTCAGTTGATTCGAGTTCAAACCTTAATCTTAACAACAATTTTTAGGTCGAAATTTGTCGTACATAATTAACCTAGCGAATGTGATCTATATCTTTGTGTGGTTTTTGAACTATTGCATGAGAACGAAATTTACTGAGTCCAAATCAAGTAGTATTGTGTGTTTGTTCCCTTGCCAACTATAATTTATAAAGTCGAAATGTGGCCAATGGTCGATGTTATTATAGCTAGGGTAACTATTAGGGTACCTTTGTAATTTAATATTTTATTGATGATAGTTCTGTCATTTTCCTCGGGTGCACTTGGATGGTGCCCATTTGAGGGAGAGATTCAAAATTCATAATAATACAAATTTATTTGGAATGAGTTATTCGACAATAAATTTCAAATTCAAGATCCCATTTTTCAATTTCTCTTTTTAGTAATTGTGGTTGATTTCAAATATGTTCCCATTTGGAAATTCTTTTTGATCTTTTAATTTGCATTTATTTCAAATCTTTCGATATAATAATTAAAAGGGCACAAATATGAAACACATCTATAAGCTCATTAAAAACTATTGGAAATATGTTTTTAAGATTATATACTTTGGGCTAACTTATTTTAAGAGTAAAAGTAAAAATTGCATTCACAAACAATTAAAACACACAAGGTTTTTTGACATTTTATTTATATACAATCACACACGTATACATATGAATATATATAATATTATGTATTAATTATGATAAGATATTATATAATAAAATTCATCGAATATAGAATAGAGCATGCCCAAAAATAGATTATATGAAGAAAAATATGCTCACAACATCTTTTTAAAAGTTATTACAAACACCAAATACATAAAACTTCATTATAGATTATATTTAAGATTAAATTACTGCCACCTCATGAGATAATGCCAAATTATGAATCTTATATTTGAGTAATTACAACCACCCTTCAACTATAATTTTTTTTACATTTCCACATTTATGGTATCAAGTTCAACAAAATCATTTAAATTTAGTTGAATGTTGTCTAGATTGTACTAGTTTTGTATAAAAATGCAGTTTTTGATGCACCACAATTTGATATTTACAAGTCAAGAGACACATCTTATGATCATCTTATTTCAAAATGGAGGAGCTCGAATGAGATACAACGAGTACAAATCAGAGAATATTCCACATAATCTAGAAGATAACACTAAATTTAACACATCAAGAATAGACGTGTACGAAAATTAATAGTTGAGTATATGATTGTAATCGAAACATAAGAGATTTTCTCGTAAATCGTAATCTAACTTTCCCAATATTTGATCTATATTAGTCCTTTTGGATGTGTTCAAATATATATTTGTTTTGTAAAGTAAACAGTAACAACTCTTTGTTCATTTCATTATCACACACAAGTGAACGTTACACACACACATGGACCTCATTTTGCCAGCTAGATCTCACCAGCCGACCCACATCCAACATCGTTTTCACCAACCCAACTCAATTCAAAATCGAACATTCAAGAAATATATTACTTACTATTATTTTCCCCTAAAAAAAAAAAAACTTGAATGATTAAAGGTCGGTTGTATAATAATGAAGAAATTAAGTCATCAATGGAGGTCAGTGGGCCCCACCCCCTCCCACTATTCGTGTATATATAACCCCATTTTCCACTTGCATTTAACCATCATCAAACTTAGCAGACAAACACTTGTACATACAATAGCAATAGCGCACACCATTTTTTTATTCTTAAATTTTGAAAGTGTGAGAGAAGAAGAAGAAGAAGAAGATGGAGAGCAAAGAGGAGGATGTTAGGGTTGGAGCGAACAAGTACTCGGAGAGGCAGCCGATTGGTACGGCGGCGCAGAGCCAGGACAAGGACTACAAGGAGCCACCGCCGGCGCCGCTCTTCGAGCCCGGCGAGCTCACCTCCTGGTCCTTTTACAGAGCCGGCATTGCTGAATTTGTCGCCACTTTCCTCTTCCTTTACATCACCATTTTGACTGTTATGGGCGTCAGCAAATCTGACTCCAAATGCTCCACCGTCGGAATTCAAGGCATTGCTTGGGCTTTCGGCGGCATGATCTTCGCCCTCGTTTACTGCACCGCCGGAATTTCTGGTATTTGAATCTCCGACTCCTAGGGTTTCTCTAGTTTTCACCCTTTTTAATTTATATATTTTCTCATTTTTACAACTAGCTAATTTTGTCCCAGATACTAATTAATTAACTTTGAAATTCAATAATTTAATTCATGATTAATTGTTTTTACCAGATCCATGTTACTGCTGCAGAAATTGTGTGTTTCTTTGAGAAAAATAAATAAAAAATGTATATATAAAATTGAAGAAAAATAGGAAAATTGATGGATGAAATTGTGAACTATGTGGGGCAGGTGGACACATAAATCCAGCAGTAACATTCGGGCTGTTCTTGGCGAGGAAATTGTCGTTGACAAGGGCAGTGTTCTACATAGTGATGCAATGCCTAGGAGCTATCTGTGGCGCTGGCGTGGTCAAAGGGTTCGGCGAAACCCTCTACATGACCAAAGGTGGTGGTGCTAATACTGTTGCTCATGGCTACACAAAGGGCTCCGGCCTTGGTGCCGAAATCATCGGCACTTTCGTTCTTGTCTACACCGTCTTCTCCGCCACCGACGCCAAACGGAGCGCTAGAGACTCCCACGTTCCGGTCAGTACTAATCTTCTCACCTTTTCTTGAAAATTAAATTGTGTTTTGCATTTTATTTCTATAAGACTAATTTTTCATATTTGTCTTTTGTGCAGATATTGGCACCGTTGCCGATTGGGTTTGCGGTGTTCTTGGTGCACTTGGCGACCATTCCGATTACGGGGACCGGTATTAACCCAGCAAGGAGTCTTGGAGCAGCTATCATCTACAACAAGAGCCATGCTTGGGATGATCATGTAAGCTAAACTTCTCGACTTTTCTTGACTTAGTGCTCCGGTATATATATTTAATTTAACGTAAAGGCCTAAATTACAAAATAATTAGAGCAGTTATGTGTAAATATTGTTTGATCTTAGTATCTGAAATGATATGTGTGAAAATGCAGTGGGTGTTCTGGGTAGGACCATTCATTGGGGCAGCACTTGCAGCACTGTACCACCAGGTTGTCATAAGAGCAATCCCATTCAAATCCAAGTGAGAACATCTTATCCATCTTCTTAACTTGTGGCCCTTGTTTCAAGCACATGGGAAGATGAAGATGAAGATTAAGACAAAAATAACTGCTCATCTTGTCTTTTTATTTTTTTATTAATTAATGTGTTATGTTTTGTTTGGTTTGTTGTATGTATGTATGTCAATGTGTTTGTTAGATGTCAATTATGAATTATGTGCTCATAAGAAAAACAGAGGGGCTTTTTAGTAATTATTATTCGATAAAAGCCCAGCTCAGCTTTTCGTATGTTGTCCAACAACAAGTAGGTTGGCTTTTATGTGTCGTTTTGTAATTTTCCCTTTTGTGGATGTGGAATTGAATGATAAGGTTGTCTTAATAATAATAGAGCTCAACCGGCCAAACCCTACCCTGGTGTTGTGTTCCTCCTTTTTCATGCTTACTGCAGCTTATAGTTTCATTACATGCATAATGCATTATTAATATGGTGGGTCCCTTTTTAGGCCTCGCACGTGCATGCTTGCGGAATTGCGGATCGTGTAAACCGTGAGATGTAATGTAGATAAACACGAGTTTGCAAATTTATAAGGGCATATTCAACAGAGCCTTCAAACTCTTTGAGGATCCATAATTTAGAAACAAAAAAAAGAAAAAAAAAATGCAAGACCAATTGTAGGGGTTCTAAAGAGTCTCCAACTTTAAAGGCTTTTTCAAAATGTCCATATTTTTTCCTAAATTTGCGCATCGATTTTGGAGACTCTAATATAACTTACTATAGAGGGCATGGGTGTGAACGAGCCAATGTCGCCTATTTTAAAAGGCTCGAGCTCGAGCTCAACTATACGTGCTTGAGCTCGAGTTCGACGAGTTGATTTGTTTTGGCTCGAGCTTGAGCTTAATTTATTAAACGAGCTCGAGCTCAAAAAAAAAAAAACAAAAACAATATTTTTATTGTATAATATATAAAATAAAATACATAAATAAATAAGAAGCTTATGAGCCGGTTCGCGAGCTGTCTAACAACTATAATCGAGCTCGAGTTCGAAATTTCGTCGAGTCAACTCGTCGAGTTCACGAGCCGGCTCAGCTCCTTTACCACCTCTAACAAAGGGAATGCACTTAGTTTTGCTATATATATTTCTACATTTGATAGTAAGATTACGCATTTTTAATACTTGAATCTAATTCGATCATAACTTTGTCGTAAAAAAGTCGATTCGACTTATTTTCTTTGTCGTAAAAAAATTGATTCGACTTATTTAGGTTGCATTACAAAGACAATGACAAGTTCAACAACTTTCACGTTTTATTATTTATAAAATTTTATTTGGATTATGGTAAAAAGAAAATGCATTGAATCTTATTGTCTCAATATCACGTAATTTGAATTGCTCACGTAATCTTACTATCTTAAATGTTTGTTTGTATCTTAGTGAAATTTTTCGTTACTCTAGCAATCAGGTCATGTCTTAAGGAATGAGAAACATTTTGAATTCGTTCACCAAACATTTTTAAATCAATTCGAAAAGCTTAACAAACACATACATTTCTGTTTGAGAAAAAGAGTGAGAAAAATTTTCAAGATTAAAAAATTGCATTTAATCTTTTTGTATTAACTAGCAAGCACCACGTGCGTTGTACGCAATTACGTATGATTTTATTTAATATATAACTTATTATTAATTAATAAAAGTTACATACTATATTTACAAAAAGAATATTTTTAAATAAAATTAAATAAGTACAAAACTTCGTGTTGCTTATGTATCAAAGCATATATTGAAATAAAATTATTTTAAAATTGATATCAATAAGAGTATAAAACCACAAGAATAAAACTAAAATAAATTGTTATACATTATTTCATGCATGGAAAATGCTCACATCAATAAATTTCTCTTATTTTGTTGTGATAGTTGATAGTTTTAATTATCTTGAATTTCTCTGCATAATTATTGTTTGAAACAATTAAGTATTATTTCGTGTTACTCATATGTTATGATCACTCGGTCAAATTTACCAACAATTTTCTTAAATAAAGCGTAAATTTACTACATTAGGGCCCTGCTATTTGGTGTAATTACAGCTAGACGCCCTCTACATTGAAAAATGCATTACCTCTGATCAAATGTTGAGTAACTATATTGACTTCCCTTCGGTCTAACTATACGTATACACCTTTATATTTACTTTCTTTTTTTGACCTCAAAAATTAAAATTGTTTTGATACGTCTATTACTTAACTTTTTTCTTTATTTTCATAAATTCTTTTATTAATATTGATGTTTGACTTACAATATACTCCCTCCGTCCCAATTTAAATGACGTTTTGGGTTGTTACACACATATTAAGAAAATCAATAAATGTGTATAGATTATAGTGGAAAAGCATAGGAAAATACTAATATATCCTTGGCATTAATTATTTTACAACTAACAAATTAGGAGTGATAAAGGGTAAAATTGAAAATAATGCAATTAATGATGCATTGAAAATGTAAAATGACAAATAATTTGGGAGAAAAAAAACTCTCTAAAAAGACATATAATATGGGACAGAGGGAGTAATATTTATGAAATTTACTTAAGTAAATAAATAAGACTAGTTATTAAGTACCTGCTTTGTCCCATATTAGTTGTCTCTTTGGGATGTTTTTTGTGTCCCAAATTATTTCTTATTTTAGAGTTCCAATAAAGCATTAATTGCATTTTTATTAATTTTGTCCCTTATCGCTCTTAATTAGTTAACTGAAAAATAATTAATGACAATGATATTTTAGTATTTACTATGTTATTTTCGGTATAATCTATGCATTTATTGAGTTTCTTAATATACATGCGACCACAAAAAACGACATCTAATATAGGACATATGGAGTATATAATAAGACTAATTATTACATCTAAAGAATAAAAATACATTAAGCGTGGAGCTCTTAATTTAAAAATACATGTTATTACTTATTTATATACATATGCTATTATGATGATTAAAAAACTCTTGAAATGTAACTTTAAGAAAAAACATTGTTGATATTTAATGGTATAAAAATAATTACGATGGCAAAAAATAAAGAAATATATACAACTTTTAACATATGTTCTAGTATTACTAACAATAAGTAATATAAATTATCATTTATTTACTTATGATCTTTTTTATGTTTTTTTTTTACATAATCGACTATAATTAAATCATGTTATCACTTATACTCATAAAATGTATAAATAACGATAACAAATAAAATTTAAGAATTTATTTAACCTCAATATTTATAATCAATTTTAGTCATTCACAACTATTTTTTCTTATTTCTAGACATATTTCTTATATATAAATATTTATTTTTAATTTAATTTTATTATTTTTAAATATTGCTTAATTAACTTGATATCTATAATGAAAAGTTCACCAATTTGAAAATGAAAAGTACATTAAGTTTCTGATAATCAGCTAATTTCTTTTACATGAACGTTCACTTGCATGTTATGATATGTCACTGAAAAAATCTATTATGAGTTTTATATGAAATAAATTTTCTTTAAAAATTTAAGAAAATAAACTTTGACTTCTAAAAGAAATTATAATATATTAAAAGATGATCGAACTTTTGATATAACATAATATAAATATTATTACTGGTATTAGTAGATAGTAATTAGTTTGAGTTTACACTATTATACTTTCATATTTGTGGAATTTATGTGATAAAAATTATATAAGAATTAATTTAAAATTTGAAACTAATTTAGGTATCTAATGCTGAACTTAAAACAAGAGAATTTATTTTAAATAACTTTTTACATATATATGCTTATAATATTAAGATCATTAGAAAACTCTTGAAATGTAACTCTAAACGAAAAGCATTGCTGAAATTTAAAGTATAAAAATAATTACAATAACCAAGAAAAAAAACACTTTTTAAAATGTTTTGTAGTATACTTACAGGTCCTTAACATTAAAATTATATTACTGAAAAGTAAGTAACATACATTATGATGTATTAACTTATTCTAGTAATTCACAACCATTTCATCTTATTTCTAGACATATTTCTTATATATTGGTTATCAATATTTATTTTTAATTTTATTTAGTTATTTCTAAATAATCCTAATTAACCTCATAACGTTCACTTACATGTTTATGATATGTCACTGAAAAACTCTATATGAGTTTTGTATGAAATACATTTTATTTTAGAATTTAAGAAAATAAACTTCGACTTTCGAAATAAATTATAACATATGAAAAGATTATTATAATTTTAATATAACATAATATAAATAATAATTAGTTTGAGTTTACATTATTACATTTTCATATTTGTGGAATTTACGTGATAAAAATTATATGAGAACTAATTTAAAATTTGGAACTACTTTAGGTATCTAATTCTTAACTTAAAATAAAGGGATTTATTTTAAAATAAAATTTTACGTATATATGCTTATAAGATATCCTTGGATAGCTCTCCAAATGTAATTTTATACAAATTAAATTACATCAAAAATTTCAACAATTAGAAAAAAGTACAATAAAAAAGAAAATAAAACTCTCACCTTAGTATATATATAGCACATGAAAAGACATTTGATATTTAAACTACATTATTAAGCTATGTTAATTTATTATTCTCATTTTTGTTATTACACAGTTGACCCTAACTAATTTATGGTATAACTTTGTTATATAGAGCATAATAGGAAGCACCAAAATGTTAAGAAACAAAAAATATTCATGTTTTTAAAGTTGGTAATTTGGTATAGAGATTTCATATAGTTACATAATCTTATCCTCTGATTTTAGTTTGATCATAAATTTGTCATATGATATTTGATTGCACTAATTCAAGTTCCATTAGAAAAGCGATGCCAAGTCTTACAACTTTAATGTTTCATAATTTCTTAAGATTTGATTTTGATTGTGGTGAAAATTAAAGTAAACATAGGACTTGTACCACAAGTACTTTTCTCATTTTACTTTCGACTAATTTGAGCTGTATCGTACAACTTACAAATAGAGTTATACACGAGTTTTAAAATTCAAATTGAATCGTCGTAAAAGGATTAAAACTAACTAAAATTTCATATATTTGTAAGGAAGCATAATTTTTTTGGTAGCAAAATATTGTATGGACATTTAAATAAATTCTAATGTTTTTGAAAATTATAGAAATATTTCAAATGTTTGAGTCAATGAAAAGCATAAATATTTATCATGATAATTTCTTTTAATTTATTTAAGGTTGTATTTGGATGGATGGATTTGGAGGATAGATTTTGATTTTCACTAATAACAAATCTATAGACGTTTGGATTGAGTGTTTTGACAAAGAATTTCAAATTCATAGCTCTTACTTTTAGTTGTATTTTAAGCATTTATGGGGAACTTCAGTCACTACCCA